CCCCCCACCCCTACACCGACCCCAGCTCCCATCCCGTTTCCTCCCGCAGCCAGCAGCCCGCCGGGCAAGGTGTACTTGTCCTTCTTCATGAGGGTCTTGGTTTTCCGCCGGGGCCGGTATTTGTAATCCGGATGCTCCTTCATGTGCAGGGCCCGCAGCCTCTTGGCTTCGTCGATGAAAGGTCTCTTCTCGCTCTCCGACAGAAGTTTCCACTCCGCGCCCAGCCTCTTGCTTATCTCCGAGTTGTGCATTTTGGGATTCTCTTGCGCCATCTTCCTCCTCTGGCCCCGGGACCACACCATGAACGCGTTCATGGGTCTCTTGACCCGCTCCGGACTGTTTTTCTGATTGGCGCCGGTGCCGGACGTGTTGGTGTTGCCCGAGCCCCCCGTGTTGGTCTGGGGAGCTGGGGGCTTCAGTTCAGTCTCCATCATGTTATACATCAGGAACAGCTTTTTAGTTGGAGCTCCCGAGCAGAAGGAAAAAACAGCACAGAGACAAACTCCACAAGCCAGAGGCAGGACAGTGAGGAGGAGCGCAGGGCTGAAGCTCAAAGTTACCTGTCGGTTTTTTCTCTGCAACTTTTTCTCTGGACAGAAAAAACAACACGCACCAAGCCGCGTCTCCACACACTCTCTCCCTCTGTCTCTCTCTCTCTCCCTCTCGCTGAGTGTGTGTCAGAGTGTGTGTGACAAAGAGGCTTCTCCCAATAGGTCCCTGCTATGTTGTGTCCACAAAACTTCTCCCGTCGCCTCTCCGAAAAAGCATCAACAAACTGTACTTTTTCGCCTCTGTCCGCCTGAGCCTTGACAACTCCAGATAGTTTTTGAACAAGTTAATAGACAACCATTCATGTGACGGGGCTGTCAGTGAATAAATGGCTTCGACCTGGCCAATCAGAGCCGGCCTGCTCCCCTGACACGCCAATGGGAGGCATTAATTAGCATAAATGGGCGGGGTCTGCTCTGCCCCGACACACACACATATACGCACACTCAGGCTGCCCATATGAGCCAATACAAAGTACATATTTACTATTTCTGGGCTTATGGAGAGATTTCTCTGGGAATATGTATATGGTGGCACTTTCTGGACCTTTTCAAGCATTATACAGAGGAAGAGGTTGCTGCAAAACCTTGCTGGCTGTAGGGAAATGAGAAAATGTCGGCTTGTAAACTTTATGGGTAAAAATAGCACAAAAAAGTTTCTTGATATAATTTTTTTTTTTTTAAGAGTTTCTAGAAAAATATAAAAATAGTCAATTCTGTATGTTTTGGCTGATTTTTCTTTAAATGAGTTGCTCATATCCAAAGGGTCACAAATGAGCAATATAAGAGTGAAATAAATAATAAAAGAAAAGTGTTAAATTCATCAAATGTTGACGTTAATGGTGTCAGTATCATCTTAATGGTGAAGGTCGGCACAGCATTGTTCTGACATGAAGTCCCGGCCCGTGACATTGCTCTTGTTCAAAATCAAAAAGTCACTAATTCCCCCCACTTACGGCCCCAATAACATAACAACACTTAAATAAACTTTGTTAGTTAACTCAAAGCACTGAATGGCGCTGGTGTGTGTGTGTCTGTGTGTGTGTGTGTGTGTGAGGGGGGGGGAAGCCACGGCTGGTTTTTAGCGTTGAAAAGAGGAAAGGTAATCCAAGATGTTTCCCCCAGTCCTTTTGTTTAGTGAAGTTGAATGCCAACACACAGAAGGCAGACGGGCTCATCTCAGCACAAATAAGCGGTTTTTGTTTGGGATGTTGTCGCTACATCTGTCCGGACAAAGACCCAACTCCACTCCACTTCCACTGCCACAGTGCTGCTGTTGTTGTTAGGGCTTTGTAGTGAAGGGGGGGGATACGGCCTACCGGGGACACGAGGGGAGGAGAAATAAAGGTGAGGAATATTTTAAGATAAAGTGTGTTTGCACAAAAGGCGCAGCTCATTCATATAAGCCTGAACAAGCGTGTCAGCCAATTAGTGTGAATGAAAGGCGGCCTCCACCTGCTTCACTTTATTGTGGATCAAACCGACCAGACTGCGATTATTATGAGAGGAAACCGGCATCATCGCATTAAAAACGAAATAATTCCCTCATATGGTCTTAATGTCCAAAACGACTAAAGTTTTTTTGGAGGTTGGAAGTGTTGGTGCCACTTGTTTTGCTTTTTCCCCCCCTCTGAATCTCCATCGAAAGGACCAGGCGTCCTGCTGCGTGACACCAGTGCCGCCTACTGGAGAGAGAGGGAACTACACGCAGCTCCAAAAACCCAGACAGGGCTTTCATAAATTATAGAGAGAAGGAATAGAGGATGGTTGTTGTTTTTTTAAAACATATAGGAAATACAAAAAAATATTCCTAAAATATATATTTATTACCCAATATCAAAAATCAAACGAGATATGCAGTCACACCACAGCCACACATCTGCCTGTCTGGATCTGCAAGCCAGACAATCCCAATAATTAAAGATAGATCAAGTACATACACCTGAAATAATTTAATTTAAATGCGTGTCTCTAGATTAAATCATAATTGAAAGTGAATAGATCAAGCCTTATTATTTTGTTTTAGTCATTTGATAATAAATGGAGGAGCAGAGCCCCCGTGCTCTCATTATGCCGGCCCCGGCAACCTTACATAAGATTCATCTTGTGCTTAATAGGCTGCGAGAGGCGACACATGCAGCTCGGTCCATTATAATGCAAGGTTGAAATGGGCCGCTCGGCTGCTATCTGCATCTGAGTGTGTTCCCCGCTACCTCTAATCTGCTTATGATAATAAAGGAACAGCGGGGCCCTGCAGCTCTCTGAAAGCAGGCCCCATCCAGCCGGGAATGGCCCTGCATCCACAATCATCCTGAATTAAAGCCGTTGTTTGACAAAAACCAGGAGAAACTAGCGGGGCGGCTCCCTCGGACCACTTGTAAGCCCCCTGCTACACCAGGTTGGGATGGATACAGCAAATATAGCGAGCAGCACGCTGTGATATCAAAATACTGTTTTGTGGTTGCACAAATTTAGGTGATGGGATCAGTGCAAAAACAAGCGTCAAAAAAGAACAATAATATAACCGAAAATATATTCTAACAGGCGCGCAGGGAGGATGTTTGAACTCTTATCAAAGTAACATTATTCCGAATACAGTTTCTGAGCTGATATTGGTGCAAATGAATTAATCAAAATACAGTGTAAATATGCACATGCCAAAATCTATTAAATGACTTATGTTAAAGGGAAACAGAAATATGAATGTATATATGGCAATAAGAGAGACAGATATCAGGTGAAATGGAAATGAAACTTGTCTTTTCTTGCCACTAGGGGCCGTACCAGAGGCTGGAGATGCAGCCAAGAAAATACTTTATGGAAACATTAATAAGTCCTCCTTGGAAATAATTGTGGAATACATACAAAAAGCTTTTTTTTTTCAGATAAATGCAGGAATAAAATTGTTCTCAATTATATGAATTATACACCATTGAGGCTTTAGACCGATGCGCAAGTCATTATTTGTTATAATGTCACAAAACATTTTTTTTTTGTTTATAATTTTTATATATGTATTTTCTTTACGAAATATATTTGGACAAGTATTTATTTGGTTTAGTGCCAAGCTAAACTAAAATTAATTAGACGATAGCATAAAGCATAAAAGCCTGTCAGGTAGTAAAAATGACAAAATGTTTTAAGATGCAGTAAAATATAAAGTCAGAATTTAAAACAATTTAAAACCTGATAGTCGGCAGAATAAAATATAACAAATGTCTCTAATAGTCTAATAAAAGCGCCTGAATGTAAGTAGAAAATAAACCAGGGCGTTCACTTTGATTTGCAACTCAAACCTTATATTATTTACCATCGTTCCAAATAAATACTGAAAGGATTAAAATAAATAAATAGATATCAATTAGGCCCACATAAAGAAAACAAATGTTGAAATGTGATGAGTACATTCTGTCTGCACAAACGATCTCTGCATATGAGGAGAAAATCAAACCGGCCAACAACAACAACTCAGGCAGTCAGTCAAGCTCATGATGCCATGCGGTGTCATTCCACAACACTGCATGTTTTACGTACACACCGACTCAAACACACACTAACATACACACCGACACACACACACCGACACACACA